AACCTTGGATAAGTTAAAAAAAAAATTGTTTGAATGGCGGCAGTTTGAAAAAAAATTTTTTTTCATGTTTTTTTTAACAATTCCGAATTTAAAAAAAAACTAAATGAAAAGTTATAGTTTTAGGAAAGGTCCATGCGATAAAGCGTTGTATAGAGAAGATCCTCTCCAAAATTGAAGTAAATCGGTTCATTAGAACTCGAGATATCCTTACCGCCAGCTCGAAAAAAGTAGTTCCGAGAAAAACTCGTTCAAAGTTTTGAGACTCGGTCGGACCCGAACCGAGGCCACGTCACTAAAACGGATATAACTCAGGAAATAATAGTAATTTTGAATGACATATTTTTGAATAACTAAACTTTGAAAATATGAAAAAAAATTTTTTCGATTTTTTCGAAATTCTACAGTAGAATACCCCCTTAATTCAAATAGAATAAACTACTGATTTCTATAAGAATAAGTGATAAGAATACAATATAACTTTTGTGTAATGAAGTCTCGTCATTTAAATACAGCATAGCTGCTATTCCTAAACCTTTAGTGAATGTTCGGTCACCCATGATTTTTTTAAAATTTTTGGTTTATGAACAAAACTAAATGTTGGAAAATAATACGCATCAAATATTAAATATTCAATCAATTCATTGGATCGTTGGTTTTGTGTATGAATTTGCATATTTTAATTGGATTGGATATGCACATCAATGCTTGATGTGTATATTCTACAACTGCGGTCGCAATAGTCATCACGAACAAAATTGAAGTGAGCTTTATATATTGGCAATATGGTAGGGCGGGGCACAAAGGTCCAATTGGGTTTTAAGTATTATACGGTCTGAAACCAAATGAACTACGTATCAAATAAGCAAATATCGAACAATTTTCAATAAAATTCCCAGTTAATTCCTAATTATAGGCATGGGATTTTTTAATGTTTTTCTAAAATTTATCATCTGTCCCTTTTTACTTCATAGGCTGGGTAAAATAGGATAGGTAGGGGGGCAAACAGATCCAATGTCTCAATTTTAAGTTCAAATGGATGTTACAAAATTACAGCTACATTATTCAATATAAATTTTATGGGCACATTTTTTGCAAAGGTTACACCGTACATAACGTTAATCTGGTACGTTGACAGAAGTATTCATCAGCAGAGTTGAAATAATTTATCTCTTTAAAATTGCCTTTTTTCAACTTGATTTACTTTTTTATTTACTATTTCCTTATTATTTACACCAACTTTCTCTTTGCCAAGATAAAGTTTCAGTTGGTTCTTTTTACTCCCACACATATATAAGCTTTTTATATAGGTTATATAAAAATCTTCTGAATCTAACTTACAAATGATTATATATCTTATAAAACAGTTAAATAACGAGTACTTACAAATTTATTAAAGTCACGCAAATCAAATAACAGGTATCAACTACTTTCAAATATTGATAAATCCTAAATTCACTTGTTTTTGAGATATTGATAGTAGACCTTGTACCCGCGGACTTTTAAGCCCCGCCTTACCCTACGCGGAGAACTACGTGACTTTTTACTTGTGATACACTATTTTATTAGGCAATAATAATTCGATCAACTTTAAGAATTCAATTTTGGAAATAATAAAGTAATGAAGATAGAATATAATAAAATTACATAGTGTCAGATTAAGAATCATATACATATTGTGTTTTATACACAAAGATCTATAACGTTTTTAGATTAGGTATAATAGTTTACTGCTATTCATTAATAGTAGGTCAACTTTATCGCCATAGTAATTGAATCATTCATGGCAATCATTTTATAAGAAATATAAAATAAACACTTGGGCTTCTAATGATCTTCATTGAATATTAATGTCATTCATTCATATCGCGTAATTAGTGAATGCGTATCGAATCCATGCACAAACCTAGCTCTCAAGAAATTCTCGTGACAATAACAAAACCTGAATTGATTAGTCGATTTAATCACGCTGTCGTAACAATTACAGTTATGTTTTAATTTCAATTCATCTCGGTAATTCTAGTGACATTGTAAGGACGTTTTTGAATTTACTATCTCTGTCTCTAGAAATTTGTATTCAGAGCGAAGACGGATTATTGAATCTCAGACCCAGAGATATACATTGAGAATTGTGTGACTTTGATATAAAGTTTTCTTAGAGGTATTGTTCTGGGACGTAAACCGGGCGCGACTTTTTCCTACTAAATGGTGTTCAGACCCATCCAGTTTGTATTACTTTATTACAGATTTTCGTTATGCAAATAAATGGTTTCATTATATGGAAAATTGCGAAAATTGTAGATATTTCTTTTTATTAATATTATGTTACGAAATAGAATTGTGATCAACTTTTACTTCAAATTATGACACAGTATATTACTTGAATATTTATGATAAAAGAACATACGGTTTTATATGTGATGTTTTTTTGGTATTGTTTCTTCAGCGTTTTTTCAACCAGTTAACTGTGATTGACGGATATACTCGTTATGGGGAAGTGGCCGAAATTTATGAATTGACGAGTATATTTGTCATGCGCATAAAACAGTGATTTGCTATTTAATTGCAATTTGTGAAAAAAAAAGTTCAGAAAAGTCAAAAGATGTCAAGTTGTTTAGAATATTTCGAGGCTATTGTATAAAATAAGTAGTAGTAAATGACATTTCACCTTAAGACAAGTTTCATGAACACTCCTAAATATGTGGAAAAAAAAATTAATGAATAAGCATTAAGATTCAGCTATTTAAATAACATTTCCTACTGTTTATTTAGAAAATACTTTCTGATCTTCATCAAAAACTATTATTATTTTTACATGTGTAATAATAATTTTCAGTGTAATAAGTATGGATTATATACTAAATTTTGTAAATAAACTCACTTTTTTCATCCTATATCTTACCTGCGCAACTTACTTAGTGATTGACGAATATACTCGTCATGAGCTCGATGCGAACGGCACAAAACTGTGCACACTGTTCGATTTGAGCAACAGAGTTAACTGATTAATCAATAGATAATAATCATTTTAAATCATTACATTAACTCTTTGCCCTCGTTTGCTCACTCTCAGCCATCAAAGCAGCTCGTATATATGCTCTCAGCCACTGTATGAATTAATACGGCATGCAGTAATTATAAAACACAACTTTTATACAAAAACATATTTACTAGATCAGTGTATTTGAATTAAGATATCTAAAGTTCACAAATCAGTTGCTAAATCTTGTTTATACATCCAAAGCTTGCGTGTTATGTATTCTTGCTACTCTTCTTGCTCGACAGAAATTAATTCTGTATAGTACGATACCAATCTCCAAATTTAATTTGAGGGCAATTTTTTTTATATATGACCTGCAACACAAGAAGGAACTCGATGTATATTTTTTCTATTCAAATGTTTCGTATTTTAATAAAGCGCTATTTGTACTTCTTTTCCGAAGTCATTTGGCGAAGTTTATATTTATTAAAAGTGAGGATAGATGTTTTAGGATGAGTGCGATGTTGGTTTGTCTCGCGGTATGGTCTATAATATATAAACTCTATATGACCACAGATTTACTAAACCATGTTGGTGGACCACCCCATCCATATTCAAATATTATACAGCTGTTTCTTCTTGTGTCTTTGGTCATTTGTGAATAAACGGCAACAGTCGACCGTTCTTGAATAATTTAATGTTCATGGATAAATGTCAATGCGCAATGGAAACCACTTCAAAATGGATAGATATAAGATATATTATATGTAGTATTTTATTAACTTCCCGTAGGGCAAAAAATCGAAAATGAAAATTTTTATATATCTTTACGTTTCAAAAGTTTCACGTTTCAACATTTTGGCATACCTTAGAAAAAATGGATGTATGTCGACGATTTCGGGAACACGGATCAACCGATTTGAATAAATTAAAAAGCATTCGATTCGTATTGATAAGGAGACGTGCTGATTAGTTTTTGGCGAAGGCAAGTCTAGCCGTTCCGAAGATACGGGGCAAAAAGTGCCAAAAACGGTAACTCTGTTTTTAAGAGAACGGAGCGTCCGATTTTAATAATTTAAAAAACATTTTACTTGTATTGACAAGATAAAAATTTTTTTTTGTGTTCCGTACCAAGATATTTAATTACGGTACGGAAAGTTCCACCAATTTTCTTTAGGGCACGATGCCATGCACCCCACTAGTTCAATCATTCAATTATTCTGACTAGTTTAGATTATTAGAATATTATATATCAGATTCTTAGATTAGTTCAGATTATTAGATTATAGATAAAATATTAAATATGACGTTCCAATTCTCATGAAAATAAAATAATTATTTTAATAGAATTACGAAAATGACTTTAGCATTTATTTTATTACAAACTTTAATACCTATTTGCTAACGTATTTCTATGGAATCTTTGGTTTGCAGAAGTTTCAACTCTTCAATATTTTCCCGTAATGAACATATAAAACTCAAGATTGTAATATTATGCATATTTGGCGAAATTTAGCTTTAGAATGAGTTTTGCAGGATGATGAAAATAAATGTCGGAATATCTAGAATAATATAGAAAATTCTGCAGCTAAAATCGTTTTCGTTTTCGAATGAAAAATACATTTTTCATTTAAATGACTAAGATACAACAGAATAAATGATGCCACTTGAGGTAGAAACATATTATTAAAATGTATCTTACAAGCTTTGCATTTTATTTCTTGGCATGTTTCAAGACTGTCCGATATTGTTAATTTATAATATTTTGTTTTCACAAAATGCTTAGTTACGTTTTTTTCTTGATTGTCTGACTTTATATTGCTGACAATTATTAGTTAATGATATTTTCTCTTTGCGCAATATTCAGTGTAAAGATTTAGATTGAATCATACATTGATGTGAGAAATATATGACAGTATTCTATTGAAAAGGGGACATTAAATTTTTCGAACATTGTTGCTTGATATAAACAAATTTATGAATGACGAATTTATATAATTTGACATATTTTTCTGTTTTACAGGTAAAGTGGATTTGCACGAGGCGACATTTTTCGTAGAGTTGAAGAAATTCTAGAAGTAAGATGAATTTTATTATCTCTTCTTTTCACATTCAATGTCAAAGTGACACAGTGTAACAATATTTTTCAAGGCATATCGCGTAAAGTTATATTAAACTTATTAATATGTTGATAAGGCATTTATAAATCAATCATTATGCTACTTCTCGGATTTTCTGATTTTGCTATTTATAAATAAAATATCTACAAATTTTGATCATAAATCATTGCCCAAGAAAAATTAATACTCTGATAAAATTGACCAAGTATTAAATATGAAATTTAGGCCCGTCAATTAATAACATGAGGTTTGAAACGAGGGGAGGGGTTTGATAAAAAATCACGAATAATTACATTGACGTGTGTAGGGTAGAGCGGGGCTAGTTGAGCAATTTTTTACTTAAACGGATGTAGCTCCTCAATGAAAAGTCTAAATAAATTGCTATACGGCTTAATGGATTTGCTGTTTATCGCTTAACAAAAGTGTTAATACTATTTTTTGGTAATAAGTAAAATTTAAAAGCTACAGCTGCTTAAATTCGAAAAGTCAAGTATGCTCAATGTACCCCATAGGTGGGGCAAGTTGAGCACTAAGAAAGTATAATGAAATCATAGGTTCAATGTCGATTAGTGATGAAATAAAATAAGTTTTTAATAACCAGTTCTAAATTTAGAGTCTTTATTGACAGAGAAAACAAAACTTATAGTAATTTGCTTTGAATAATTAACGAAAAGTAGAATTAACAAAACAATATCGTATCTTTGGAATTATTTTATCATTATATTCAGTATTTTTGTTTAAAATCGTTATTACTCATAGACTTAGCTTAAATCTTAAAAATCATAATTAATTTCTGGAAGTTAATGGTAATTATCTTAATGACAGAACAAGTTTAGCAACTATGCTCAACTAACCCCGACTCGGAATTTCGAAATAAAAGTGAGTTTATAAAAAAAACGTGAGAATTATACCCAGAATCTCTGTGCATATTAAAAGTACTATAATTATATGGAAGAATAACATTTACCTGATTAAAAATAAATAACATTTGACTAAACCAGACGAAAACTCGTGATGAATTACTTATTTACTTTTTGGTCTGAAAATAAACAAAACGCCCGTGAGCCTCACCCATTTCCACCTTATAATGCCTAAACGGACGGTGAATAGTTTTCGAGATATTTCGATTGCTCAACTTGCCCCTATGCTCAACTAGCCTCGCTCTACCCTAATAATATTCCATTATGTTATATACGTTCTGACAATTATTGAAGTTTGCGTTACAATTGTCAAAACAAAAACATTATTTTTCATTTAAATTTATTTTGCTCGATTTCTTATGAGATCGATGTTGTGCTTGTTACTGTGTTTCATTTTCATTTTTTCATGATTTTATTTTATATTTTTTGAGTCAGTTACAAAATGCATGTAGAGATTTTATAAAAACATTCACAGTAAAATGGAGCAACGGCATTATTTGGAAGTTCACGTAAATGTGCATGCTTTATTGCTTATTTATTATTATTATTAACGATAAGGAGTATTATAACTACCTGTTGTTCTGTTTCACACTTCTATTTGTATTAGAGTATCATGTCAATGTAGTCTTTATTCATTACCATTGCCGCAAAAATTGGACTACTGCCAAGGGATTTAACTCGAGTAACGTCTTTTAGAGACTTATTTCTCTCGCCTTTTCTTATTTTTTCTAGTTTCTAACGTTCGTCGGTTCAACGTGTCGCCTTTTTGTGCTAATTTCTTCAACGCGGACTGGAGTTCACCACGTCTGTAATTATGTGCATGGTTGGAAAAATGTTTTATCGTTTTTCTCTTCTATTTAAAAACTTATTCTTACCGTGAAAATTGCTCTTTTTAAAAATAATGGTGCCAAAATACTGGGTTTTATTTAGACCAGTTATATGCAATGATATAACGGAAAGCCCTAACCCTAGATCTGGTGTTATGTCAAAAATATTTTGATTTATATCCGGTAAAATTTCTTTTTTTAAATTAATTTGCTTTTTATTTACTATTATTTATTGCTAACACCTTTGCCAGGGTACACGTTCAATGGATCTTTTTCACTCCACCCACGTGTAAGCTATTAGAGAAGTTATATAAAGAAAACTGTTGAATCTAACTTAAATATAACGATTTATCTTATGAAACATATAACATATACTTAAAAATTATATTAAGGATTCATAAAACTAAACAACAGTGCTGGCAAAAACTCTAATAACGAAGAAAAAACTTTTGTCATGGATTTTCAAACACTAGCGTTTATCTCTTCTATTAACTTAAATAATGCAATTCATCGAATTAAATTAAAATGAGAATAAAAAACTCCTTCGTTTATAATGATAATTCTAGTAACTTTCATTTACATTTTTTTATTATATATCGTTTTATAATCCATTTATTTATGAATTATATTATTGTATATTATATTATGATTCACTCATTTATAATTTTTATTTTATATTGTTTGTATATTGTTTGTTTATCTTCTAATCTGGATCATAAAGATGGAACTTACGTAGGGTAGAGCGGGGCTAGTTGAGCATAGGGGCAAGTTGAGCAATCGAAATATCTTGAAAACTATTCACCGTCCGTTTGGCATTATATGGCGGAAATATAGAGATTTGGGAGAAATAAACATTCTGCGATCGCTAGTGGCCACTGGACAAATGAGTGAGGCTCACAGGCGTTTTGTTTATTTTGAGACCAAAAATTAAAAAAGTAATTCATCGCGAGTTTTCGTCTGGTTTAGTCAAATGTTATTTATTTTTAATCGGGTAAATGTTATTCTTCAATATAATTATAGTACTTTTAATATGCACAGAGATTCTGGCTATAATTCTCACGGTTTTTTTTATAAACTCACTTTTATTTTGAAATTCCGAGTTGGGGTTAGTTGAGCATAGTTGCTAAACTTGTTCTGTCACTAAGACAATTATCATTAACTTCCAGAAATTGATTATTATTTTTAAGATTTAAGCTAAGTCTCTGAGTAATAATATAAAGAAATAATGATTTTAAACAAAAATACTGAATATAATGGTAAAGATACGATACGATATTGTTCTGTTGATTCTACTTTTCGTTAATTATTCAAAGCAAAGCAAGTTTTGTTTTCTCTGTCAATAAAGACTATAAATATAGAACTGGTTATTAAAAACTTATTTTATTTCATCACTGTCGATTACAATGTCGATTACATTGAATCTATGATTTCATTATACTTTCTTAGTGCTCAACTTGCCTCACCTATGGGGTATATTGAGCATACTTGACTTTTTGCATTTAAACAGCTGTAGCTTTTAAATTTTACTTATCACCAAATAATAGTATTAACACTTTTGTTAAGCGATAAACAACAAATCCATTAAGCCGTATAGCAATTTATTGAGACTTTTCATTGAGATGCTACATCCTTTTAAGTAAAAATTTGCTCAACTAGCCCCGCCCTACCCTAGTTCTAAAACGTTGTCAATAAAAAAATATTGTTTCAGAAAAAAAAATTAGTTTTTCATTACAATTATTGGATTACTTGTTTGAAGCCCACAATATCTATAATGTAGAAACTCGATTTTTAATTATAGCTTTTATGTAAATAAGTTACATAATAATGGGAAATACATATTCATGAATATACGTTTTCACAGAACCAGAGTGTTATTCACATTACTTTCCTGTATTTTGATGGAGCTTTTTTGTTAAATTATGATGGTCCTCGCCGCAAATACTCAAGTTTTATTTTTAATTCATTTAAAACATATACTTGTAGTTGCATCTCATTACGTGACAATGGATTGATTCTATCTGCTTCACATTTATAGCTCACATTGCATATATCGAAAGCATATGTGAAATATTGATGAATGCTCTAATTATCTTGTTGATTGTTGCTCATTTATCTCATTGTGTATTTATTTGTCATTAATCATTTTTAATGAATTTGTTTCAAATCTATTGACTGGTCAGCAATATTTATAGAATAAATTATTTAGTATTGCAAGGAATATTTTGTACGAACTTTGTACAGCATGTTTTGTTAAATTAATTGTCCCAATTAAAGCTCAAAGATAAGAAGCTTAGATATATTGACTTTATACTCTGTTGATGCCCACTCTGCATTAGTTGTGTCTTATCACCTCCTACGCTAGTTTATATCGGGATGCAATTTTATTTCATTGTATGGTTTTCAGTCACCAGATTCTTTTTTATTTTAGTTCATTAGTCAAAAATACAAATTCACAAGCATTATTAATCAGTTCTAGAGTATTTGGATTCTGATATTTTGTTCTAAACACATTTACAACTTGAAAGTAATAAATATTTTTAACGATACATTATATTGCTGTTCTTAACTATAGTGCATGCAAGTAAAGTGAAACGTCGATGTTTCACTTTTATATTTATTGGTGATAAATTAGTAATTCTCAACTCATTTGACACTACCGCCCTCTTTTCAGAAAAAATATTACACAGCCTACATCCTATTCTATGCTATCCTAGACTATGTATTTTTTTTAATTTGCAAATGTGTGTATTATAAATGATACTGTGTTTGCATATAAATGCTTTATTTTGGTTTCTCATCGAATATGAATTCGTTGCTATCATCTATGATTTACTACCTTTCATTTCTAGTTCTATTTCAAGAATCACGCACCGGTGGTTGGCAGGTATATTTCTGTGTGTAGAACACGGAGCGTAGAATTGTAGTAAATTTATTGAAAGGAATTTGTGTTATAAATAATTATCTTAACTGTAAACAATTTTGAAATAACCGGCTTTTTACACAGCTCGGGATGATTTAACCGTAATTTATGCTAAATTATTTCATGCTTTAGTTTTTTATAATTTTAGTTTTTGAACAGTGATACAGTAACTTCATAACTAATATGGAAAGTAAAATGTGTTAATATATTCACGGTTTACCTTCTTGCAACTATTACCTACTTTACCTACCTTATAGTAGGTCAAACATGATCAACTTCCCACAGAGTCGG